TTTCTTTAAAAATTGTATAATTTAACGTAACTTTTTACGCTGATTCCGAATATGTTATTTATTTGGCATCTGTATCGAGTTTTTGTTTTGAATTTCGCAAAAAACGACCCATTTTTAGGCCTTTTGTCTGATTACTGGCATGGAACAGAAAAACATCCGAATTTTCTCAACACTTAAAGACAATTTAGAAAAACTAAATAGGTATTTTTGTAGCCCACGATCTGGCGGTTCTAATGAGATATGACAGTTGTTTCTATCTCTTAGTACAAAAAACTAGATAGATTTACACGATTAGTCAAAAATATGTACTTTTTGAGCATATAGGGGTATGAATATGAGACAAAATTTTAAATTTTTTTCTACTTAAAATCTAATCAAATAGCATTTTCTGGTTCACTTTTTGATGCTGATTCAGAATATGATATTTAAAAAAACATTTGACATCATAAATTATCTTAAAATTAACAATAAACGAGATGTAGTTACATATAATGACATTTGTGGTCAGTCAACTTGTTTGGCGTTTTTCTCAGCCAAATAGCGATCAAATCGAAAAAATTTATATATATTCGTGATCAGCGTTTCATTCTCTATCAAATCATATATAAACGAACGAGAAAAAAAATCCACTGTAATTCTGCATTAGCGGCACCTTATAATTTGTATATAATTCTAAGTTAATTATTGTTTATATGAAAAATAAAATAAAAATTTCTTTTTTTTCTTTCTCTACAGGATATTTAGGAAGTGTCATGTTAAATGCGTTTAATTTACTTTGTATAGTATTTTCCGGTTATATTATTGAATTAAAATATAAGAGGAAAAGAGAAATTTATTTCTTTGTTTCTTTTTATTAATAAAATATTATTGATTAAGTATGTTGAAATATTTAATAATATTATTGATTATGGTGTCTAGATAAAACTTATTTGGAAAACAAAAAAATATTTATTATCAGAATCATTCTCTTTTTTTTTAGACAGATATCACGTAGAACTGTCTACCAAATCTAATGAAAATAGTTCTTCTAGCTAAATAGATGCAAGTCAACATGATAGAGAAAATATTTTAATTCAGCTTACGAGGAGCACTATCCAGGTAATACACTCCGATTCCATTCATTCATATACCATTTGATAGACTATAGTGAGGTAGTCAAAGCTCAAAAAAAAAATAGCAGGTGTTTTTCTCCAAAATTTAGTGGATATTAACAGATATAGAAGACGATATAACCTATTTAAGTCTTCATCATATGTGATCATTTCGACTTTTTTCCTTTTCTGTGATATACGTGTGAATTTTCTTTTTCTCTGTTGTTTTTTTCATTCTTTACATTTGAAGTTGACTTTATTCTATATATTGTTATCCTTCCTTCTGAAGATGAAGGATGGTCGGTACACACAAAAGATTTTTTACTATAATAGAAAAATCGATGAAATAGATTTTAGAACAACTGAAAGGAGGGTGATACGAAAAAATTGAAAATGCGTTTGTCTGTCTGTCTGTTTGTATGCGTCAGGGTCAAAGGTGAAAGTTAAAAAAAAGCATTTTTTCAAATTAGATTTACTAAAAGGTTTTCGCAATCGAGCAACTCGAATTTAAGCTCGATTGCCTTGCACAACTGTCTAGAGGTAGCGAGGTCGTTGGTGAGAATGTGAATATGGGTGACGAGCTGGGTGAAGGTGAGAACCAATAGAAAATGAGTTTTTCAACGAAAGCGTTTCTAGGAGCATTTCGACGCGCTACGTGTAGATGAGAACCGATGTAAATCGATTTTTGGAAGAAAACGTTTTGGTATCTTAAGGGTGGGATTGTGAGTTTATGATGTGGATTTGTGCAGGTGCGCATGGTTGTCGGCGAGATTTTACATATCAGTTCAACTCTAACAGGCACACCTACACTCACCATGAAGATGCGTCGTGGTATATTCTTATTTAAACACACTCATCGCATAGTCTATGTACCTAGGTCTACCAATTCCGTATTCGGATCCGATCGGATCTCATGCCGGATTCTATCGGAATCCGACGATCCGACAAAATCCTAAAGGATTCCTGGTGACGGAATCACTTCGGATTCCGTTGTGGTCGGATCCAACATCGGATCTCACAATTTCCAACAAACGGATCTAGACGGATCCGATAGGTGACCATAAGGCCATCATAGAAAATAGCTAAAAACGCCGCTCATCAAATTTGCAGCAAGTGACTGAAATTTTCCGTACGGAATCCAATGCAAATCCGTCACCAGGAATCCTATCGGATTCTGTCGGATGATCGGATCCAATGTTGGATTGGTTGACCTGGGCACCCTATCCTACAAAGTAGTAGACAGAGCCTATACAAGAAACCCAAAACATACCATATTTTATCACAATCGATTAGTATTTTGGCTCTGCTTCCATAGTAGGATATTATGTACTACTTTCAACTAAACGAATACTTCGTCTGCTTGGGTATTCAGCCAAAGTCTGTTCGCGATGCGACTAGGTACCGAAACGAACGGCTCTCCCCTTATAGCTGACCCTCATCCTGATTACATATTCTTTTAGCTTTTCAACCCCTTACCACTAGGTCCTCAATAAAAGTAGCCTTCCGTTCGTACTACTATTGGGCTTGATTGGGTATTAAGTCAGATTCTGTACCCTGTGTGGGTGGATGGCTTGAGTGTAGTTGAGATGGTGACAATAGTGAGATATACGCCAACACCCGCTAAACGCCTATATTAATAATATACATTGATTGTCTTTTTGGCAACTTTCTTTTGTCTTAAAACAAATCTGTTGGCCACAAAATCAAGTTCTCCATCGTATGTTTAGGCGTCTGGTGAATCCCAGGTTCAAAGCACTGCTATCTATCGTGTTTCCAAAAAAGTATAAAATCAGGAGCTTTGGCAACATTAGATACGATAGAACTTTATTTGCTTTTATTTGAAAGCTGTGAAAACCTCTTTATTGAAACCTTCACTTACTTTGATAAGAATTTGACGTTAATCGAGATGCACTTATATTAGACATTGAAATAAATTGAGAAGTCTTATAAACAAGATAGCAACGTGTCATGGTAGTTTGTCTCATACTGTCTAATATATATATATATATACTATTGCGTATGTTTTTTAATATTCAATAACAATGTAAATAAGCCTATTTGCAATATGCCATCTTATGGAATTTTTAAACAAGATTCAAACACATTTCAAGACAGCTTATCTTATAATCATCCACATCCTCAAATTATTATTCAACTTGAGAGTGTGGATGTTTGTGGTTATTGAATCAAGTATTCACACTCACACTCATACGTTGAGACTTATAATACACTGGTTTCAGACTCGAAAGAGGTCGTATGTTGATGTTATGAATTAGAGATGGCTATAACACCCATAATACCACTGCAATATCCACACCCTAATCATTTTTACTTTTATTTTAAATGTATAAGTATACACATACAATCACAGCAAGCATAACAAAATATAGGAACAGAGAAACGAGTGCATATATATGAATATGTACGTGCAGGATATAATATGAGAAAACAAACATAAAAGAGACGACGATAAGCAAGCGAAGATATCATATAAGAAAGAGACACGTTCTAAGATTGAACACTTATGAGAAATGAAGAAAAAGTCAACACATTAACCGCCTTTTTTAAAGTTTTACTCTGTTAACGATAATAATCAATAGTAAGTCTTTATATATTAGCATGATGTTAAATTAAAGCGTTGTATTCGATTATTATATCTATCAACAACCAATAGATTATAATAACTATCAAAGACGAGTGATTCAGGCCAATAGAGTTGATTCGATCCTGTTCCTTGTGTACCACCAACGATTGTAGTACCATTAGTCGCATTTGGCAGCCAACGTTGAACACGATTGTTATCTGAATACGAAAAAAGTCAAATGAGATTTTTTTAATCTATGGAATATTTTCTTTTCTCGAAACTGCTCTTACTTCTATCAAGTATATAGAGAGTTCCACCACTATCTACCACTACAGATCTTGGACCATTCAACTGATTCGTTCCATTTCCAGCTCCGTTGCCTCCGGCGACAACCGTTCCATAAGTTGAACTCGTTGAACCTGATGGGAATTTCATTACACGATTATTACTAAGGTCGGCAACGTACAAAGCATTTGTATATAAATAATCATAGTAAACACCATTTGGGCCGTTAAGCTGATTTAAAGCATTTCCATTACCATTGCCACCTACATGTGAAAATAAAACCAATATGTAATGAAAAATTTCTTTGGAAGATCGTTATATATACCTGCTACAACCACCGGTGATCCACTACCTCCAACAAACTTGTATATTGCATTATTACTATTACCAACTACATAAATATCATTAGTCAATTGATTTATGGATATTAATGCTGGTGCAGCTATAGAACCGAGCAATGTTCCAGATGTCGCGGAATTTGAGTTTGATGGAAATCTAACGACCTGGTTGCAATGGAGATCTGCTCCGTACAAGTTACCTGAACTATCAAGACCTACTCCAATATTAGCCGTAAATTGATTCATGTTGCAACCCTGTCCATTACTTCCAGCAATTACTGTTGCAACTGAAGGTGAACTATTGAGAGAAATCTGTAATATACGTTGATTTTCAAGATCGCTAACGATTAATCGATTATTAGGTTGGTCATAATACATTCCAGTAGGACTATTGAGAAGTGAAAGACTAGAGCCAGATGTACCTGCTTGGCTACCAAATATAGTAGTAGCAGTTTGTGACCAGGTACATACTATAAAAAGACAGAAAGAGAACAAGCATTTTATTGTCCAACACTTATAGATCAGTTAGACATATGATATTGGAAAGTAGATATTTGTAGTTCTTAAATATGATATATGTTAATCCATGTGATGCATAAGATCGATAACTATTCTAATCTAACTTAAACTAGAAACAAAGCGCAAAAGCAATCGTCGACGCTGTTATTTGCTGCGGAATACAATGTTTTCCTGATCTGTTCACGATTTCTTATTAATTCAAAAAATGACGAAGATTTTACTGCAGACCCAAGAAAAGGGAAAAACAATTTTCTTGAACATTCATTATTTATCATAAGTAAAGAATAAGAAAAACAAACGTTTTTCTTTCTTTCTTTCTTTCTTTTCTTATCTTTGAATAGTACTCTCCTTAATTTATGACTTCTATATCAACTGGTATGAACAGATCCATTAACTTTCTGTTTTATTGTTTATATTCGATATTTTCGATGCTACAGAGCCGATAAAAAAGTGAACTATTACATGGTCTATCTCTACACATATTCCTAATCAAGAAGCTAATTATGAATAAAGCTTACTAAAAGAAGAAAACATTTTTTTCTCTCTCAAATATTCATATGATTTCTTTCTAAATTTAGTATATTCATACTAACCAGGTAGAGATCGTGTTCCAGCAATAACAATCATAGTGGTAATGTCGGTATCAGTCTGCATATTTGTAATTTCATTTGACATATCACTAAATAATTCACAATTAGAAGTTGATTGATGAAAACTGGCTGCTCTACAATAAATTTGAGCTAAACAAGCCATTTGACACTTGATAATAGTCGACGTAATGATACTTGCCAATGGTAAACAAGGTATAGTAGCACAATGAAATTTCCAACCACGCATTAAAGACATTTGAACTGATCGCATATCTTCTCCAACTGATTGTGTAATAATCATAAATACAAGCCATAGACAAATTCCTTTTGAAGCCATTACCAATTGAATTGCAAGTTGATGAAATGAATTTAACTGAGAATAAAAGAAAAAGAATCTATTGAGCGATAAACACTATTTTTCTTCTTTCTTGTCTCTCTTTTTCTTTTTTTTTATTCATCTAATGAAAAAACTAGTCATGACTTTTATTTTATTTTGTAAAGACACATCCATTCGGGAAGATGATTTTTCTTTGTTGATATGTTACTGAGAGACAAATATATTCACCAATAGAACGTTTTTTGTTGTATCGAAAATAAATAAAGATGAAAAGCAGAGAGCACAATCGTCTTGGTAGAATTGAATTTGAAAAGAAAATAATCAAGATTTAGTCGTAAATGAAGTATTTCTTATAAAAATAAAAATATTTTAATCCATTGTGTCTATAAATAAATTGCATATTCATTCAAACTTGTCTCACAGATTATACAATATATCAATCAATTCTCACGCAATTTATATAGGAATATAGCGAATTGAATAATCCTCTAAACTCAAACTCACTGAATTTGGATTTTTCGATTGATTCTAACACAGCGTATGAAAATATTTCCAAAACTTTTCTTTTGTTATTCTATATTAGTCATTCTATTCTTCAATTTTTGATTGATAGAAGTATATTATGGCTTGTCATTCAATAAATAAACATATTTTTCTTCATCCACGTAACAATGTTTCAAACAATTAGGACTTATGTCTATTTATGATAGTATTAATGAAAAACAAAACACCTTGTTCATTAGATGCATAAAAACAAACAGTTTTCTTCACTATTCTGTAGTGAGTGTAATAATTGTTTGTCAAAACAACACATTCTAAACTGTTTTTTTTCTCGAGGAAAAACATTTATCTACTAAAAATTTGGTTTGTTTTTCTTTTCTTTTCTTTCCTTTTCCTTCGTTTATATGTTGTTATGATATATAATGTATGTAGCAGAAAAAGAAGACATTAGTTGGACAATCATTTTGATTATTTTTCAAGAGAAACGATAAAAACAGAGAAATTCTGGGAAGATCTAAGTTTAATATAATTACAATAAGAAAAAGTAAATTACTTTGTAAAAGTACATGAGTATTGAGTAAAACAATAATGGTAGCATATGCAAGCTTTCTGCAGATGAAAAACGGCATCTTCATAATTACATTAGAAAGATGATTACACAAAGTTGATGACGTCTTTACTTTCTTTCGATATTTCAATGTATTATACAAGTAACGCTCGTTTAGAGACACGATTAGCTCTTTCTCATAGAAACGGTGCGTCTTCACTATCAGTAAACTATCTATTAAAACAATTAAAAAAACCGACTTCAGATTTGAGTTTCTCGACTTCGATTACTCTTCGGTCATCCATTATGAAAAAACTCCTTTTATATTTTTATCTAATTTTTGGATCAATCAATGAAGTGCGGACACAAGCAAGCAGACAATTTATATTTGCAAGACTCTTCTCTACGAGAAAGAGAATAATAATTACTAATCAACTATGAAAAACAGCACATTTATAATGTTCGACGAAAACGTTGTTGAATCTGATTTTGATATTTTTTCTATAAAATTCTAATGGTAAAACAAAGATAAGAAAAGTAATCATTGAAGAAATAAATGACATAAAATAACGAAGAATCTTTTGTTGAATTTATACATTTGAATACATAAGTAAGAAATAATCGTGATAATACAAGAAGAAATAAAATTGCAGGTGCAATTAATAAATGTTTATATTCTTGAATTTGTTCATATAACACATTTTTATAAGATTGATGTCTATGAAAATGAGATTTTCGTGTTATTGAAATCATTGATGAAATACAATTAATTAAAAATGGAACGAAAAAATGAAATGTATTTATTAATAATTTGATTATAAATTTACAAGGTCGAAGAATATTTTAGAATACACTAAATTCTTTTATTATTATTATCATCATCATTTTCTTCTTCGAATAACCGCCGATAAAATAGACCAACTTTACCTACACTTTTATTTTTAAATGTTATCAATGAAAGTATACCATTGATTAATCCTAAAATAATAAATATAATTGTCGACGATAAACTCATTCTAATAATTGATATTTGGTGAATAATTTTGGCATCAAGTGATAAAACAATTTCACTTGTACTATTGTTAGTAATAAATCTGATTATTCAATAATGTTTGGTTTAACATAACAAAAGTAAATTCACAAAAAACTTAAAGAGAGAGAAAACAATGAAGAAGCTTTTTCAGGTAAACTGACAATATGTCAAAAGACAGTGCTTCCATTAGCTTTTGTACACAATTCCACAGAATATCTGTCCGAAAAAAATCAAGTACATACGTCAAAATTTAAGAGAGAGATCTATTTTACCCGACGCACATGTTATTTATTGATTTTATTATAAATATTTTATAATAATCGTATTTTAAATATGTAAAAACGATGGACCAACATGTCGACTTAGAATGAATCTCAAAAATATTCATCTAATATTATATTTCATTTTTCTTAAAAAATTTAAATATTATTCTATTATTTTATTCTTCATATATAATTTGAATTATACAATTAGTCCTTAAATAATCGTTAGATTACAAATTTTGTTTCAGTTCTATAATTTATCAACCAAGGAGGACAAATAGACATATATATATATATGTGAAGAACAGAGAAGAAAAATGATTTATCCTTCATTTAAATAACTAACAATATGGTAAACACAGTCGTTAGATTTGGAAATAATCGATTATCATCGATATCGCCACTTCCTACAGTTGTTGAAACTAATAAAAAATATTCTTTTCAACAACAACTTTATTTAATTATTGGAATATTAATTCTTACTATAATTACACTTCCAAATATATTCTCAATAAAAAACGATCATGATGATTTTACCTATCATCTTCTTTTCATTATTCATTCAAGTTTGTTATTAATTTATTTTCTTTATTATTTATTTCAAATTTTTATTATTTTTCAGGTTTTTTATTATTATTTTTCATATCAACAATGATATATACAGGTAAATATATACATATGTTTATTTATAAAATTAATCATTTTTATTTAATTAGATATTGGAGATGGTATAACAACAATATGTAGTTTAATTCTATTGGCTATCTATAAAACAATTCATTATTTAATTCGATATCGTTATTGTCAAATATATTCTCAAAAAGATTTTCTTCTAACAACAGTTTGATATATTTAAGATAGAAAAATAATGATTATAATACATATTTTTTATTTAGGTTCAATTAACAATTATTTTAATATTTGTTATAACATATATTCTATGGACATATTTATTAATAAGAAATAACTATTACGAGAAAAATATAAATAAGTATTTTAAAAGAAAAAATTAATTTTTTCCCTAGAAAAACTATTTATTATTTTTTTAGAAGAATAAATAAAACAAGAATATTCTATTCATTATTAAGTCTCAATTTGATGTTAACAGTAAGTTAAATAGGAAAAGATATTCTTAAAAATTTTTATTTTATTTAAGATTTCATCATTAATTTTAAATATACGCAATGAAGAAGATTTTGGTCTATATCATATAATAATTCTTTCAGTTGGTATACCATTTACTTTACTTTGGTGTGCAATTGGAATTTTAATGGTAACCTTTTCATATTATCTTTTAAATAAGCTATCGGTAGATTCTCATTAGTATATAACACGATATTTCTGATTTTACATCGTTTATTATTCTAATAAAATGTTTATTTTGTTTTTTTAGTCTATATACAAAAATTGTTTATGGATAAGTTTATTCTATTTCTTGTCAATAATTCAACCATTTCATTTAATTCATTTAATTTATATATCAATTAATAAATTTTATGGTCTATTATCTGAGAATGAAATTAATCAATATTATCCATTATTTATAATTATATTTGTATGTGTTAGTGCAAATTGTTTTGTACAATTATTTACAACAATAATTGGTTGTTGGATGATATCAAAAACTGATAGAACAATTTTTGATACTCGTTGGATTGTAGCGAGTATTTGAACATTTTTTGTTTTCATATTTCTTTTCGTGTTTTTTTTTTCTTTTTGTTAGAATATTATATAAACCTGTTGTTTTTTGTTTTTGTTTCTAGATAAATAATAAATGTCAACTTCGATAAATAATGATGATAAAGAAAAAGATGGTGATCAAAGTATAAATTATGATGAAATTGAAGAATATCTTTCTAATGATAATGACATTGATACACAAAGTAAAATAACAATTAATTCAAATGAAAGATTAATCACAACACAAAAATCATGTATTACACAAGTACAAAATGTTAGTCTTTCATTAGAAAAATCCTCAATGAATAATGAAGAATATTCTGAAAACGATAATAATAATAATAAATCAATAACATCGATTTTAAATGTTAAAACATCGAATATACCTGGTCCTGTTGGACTTTTACCGATATTAGTAAGATTAAATATTATTCATATTTATTCTAATATTTATTAAATAGAAAACAAACGAAGATATACGTCGTTTAAAAGAAGATAAAGCAGCTCGTAATACATTACCTACTAATGAAGACAATAACAATGTTAAACGACCTAAAACATCGTCTGATGTAAGTTGATTACATATAAACAAAAGTCATTTGTTACCATTGGATCACGTATAGAGTTGGGAGATGTTGAGGATAGATATGAATAGAAGAATGATTCTTATCTTATATTCTTCGTTTAAGTATGATATTTTTTGTATAATTTAAATAATTATTTACGATCGAAACAATTCAGTCTTTTATACCAAAAGTATTGTGATAAAAATTTCGTTTATTTTATTTTAGCTTTTCAGTTTAAATATTATAAATTATCCATCATATGCAATAGCACTTTATCAATTACAAGAAACATTCAGTTGTGAACCGATTAGTATTCATACAGCACTTGTTAAAGTTAGAGAAATCCATAAACTATTTTATCTTAATTCTGTTTTCTTCTTTTTCATATAAATCAAGGCTCGTCTTGGTATTAAAAAACGTATTCCACTTATGTGTGCAGCTGTTACACACTATGATCGACAAGAAAATACTATTCTATTAGATAAATCAGGTATTGAACAAATGAAAAAATATTCATTATATTTCAGTATAAAATATTTATTTATTTTTCAAGGTCATATTCGAGCAACATTCATTGGTGATGATGAATTATTAGATAGTTTTAATATTCGTGTTGGTCATACACTTGTATTACGAAATGTAAACAATGTTTTATTTTTTTCTGGAAAAAGAAAATTTGTTATTTTTAAGGTAGCGGTATTTACATCAACACGTCATAGACATCATTATGTTAATATTCATTTACAAAATATTATAGCAATACAAGATCCATTATGTGATGTATTTAATATGTCATTAATGAATCAAGATAAACCATCAAAGATAGTTTTACATTCAATTGAAAATGAAATATCAGCATATGAAGATTCATCGAAAATAAATAATGAAACATTTCAATTATTTTCTCAATCAGATAATGAAGATAATGAACAACCACCATTAAAAAAAAAAGAATATAGATTTAAAACCATCGAATAGCTCAGCTTTTAATCATATTAAATCCAATGTTAGTTCATCATCGTCAACTACAAATAAATTTAAAGAAACTTTTAATCCTAAACAATCAGTTCAACCACAAAAATCTGTAATATCTACTGTTAATAAAGTTCCTTCTAGTGCCGCTACAATTACTCCGTCATTATCAACATCTGAAACTAATCTTCTGCAAATGATTGAAAAACCAATCGATGCAGATTTTAATCCAGAAGGTTAAATTTATTTTTTTGAAAAATTTTCTAATATTCTTATTTTTTATTCTTATTAGATTTTGCTGATGATGATTTCTTTTCAACATGGTAGTCATATTATATATATTCTTTTAACTGTATGCAGATAGATTTTTCTCATGTGTTGTAATTTCTTTTGTAGATTTTCTCACTGGGTTTAATTTGTGTAATAATAAAAAAACAATTCGTATATACTTCACTTTATAACATCAACTTTAAATTAGGATGAATGAAATATTCTTTGCTATCTTTGTTTTATATTTTTTTTAGTAGAAAATTTTATTTGTATAAAAAATTTTAAAAAGTTTATCAACATTGACATATTTACTGGGAAAATACATAATATTAGAAAATAGTTTTCAATTGAGATAATTTCATGCTTTTTTTTTCAGACTTATTTAATTGACCATCACTTTGTGAGAACGAACGACTAAATTTTTTAAATAGATTTCCTTTACTTTGGCGATCATTTTTAATTTCTTTTAAATCATCATCATTATCATCAGATGAATCCAGATCAAAATGGACATCAAATGGACGAGCTTCTTGAATAGTATCATCAGAAAGAACACTTATTGACACATTATCCCCAGCTGCTTGTTGATTTGTTACAATAGAATTAATTTTTTCTACTAAATCACGTGATGATTTATTTTTGTTATCATCAACATAACCAACAATAAAATGAACTCGATTACTATTTCTTCCAAGTGAATTGTTTTCAACATGATCATCATGATTATCTTCTGCTTGTCCTTCTTTTAATACTGTATGAAATAATGCAGGTGATCCATCAGATGAAACAGATTCATTTCTTGTATGTTCTTTTGCTCGTGCATCTGGATCTTCAATTCTTGGATGACTATGATGTTCCGAATGAGTACTTGGCTCTCTTTCTGTATCATTATTTTCATCATCGGAATAATCACTAAAATCAATCGATTCTTCTTGATAATATAATTTTCGAACATAAACACGTTGATATCGATCAACAAGTACAGAAACAAGCATGCCAATTGTTGCAGCACCAAATAATGCACAAAAACAAGCTAGTATTCGACCAATTGGTGTTATTGGTGCTATATCACCATATCTAATAGAAAAAATTTATTTTTATTTTGATTAATAAAACTAATTTATTAGAAAAATTTACCCAACACTTGTTATAGTAATAATACCCCAATAAGTTGCTTTAAGAATTGAATCAAATGCCTCACCATTTGCAGAATTTTCAGCATAGTAAGTAGCAGCACCAAATAAAAATCCAAGTAAAGTTAAAATAATTATCATTATTAAAAAATCAACTAATGATTGACGTACTGTTGTTGCAAGTACACGTAAAGATTTGACACTTTTAAATACTCGAATAAATTTAAAAGCACGTGCAAGACGAAGTATACGTAAAAGTCGAAGACCAACATAAGTATCTGAACTTCCACCGCTGGGTGCACTAATTAAACGAACACCAAGTGTTATAAAAAATGGTATTATAGCTAATATATCAATCCAATTCATTACATTTTTTATAAAATCAAGGAATGATGGTGTAGTGAATAAACGAATTAAAAATTCGAATGTAAAAAAACCAACACAAATAGCTTGAATAATAAAAAAAGGTGTAGTAAAATATCCTGCACAATCATAAAAAGCACCTCCAGATGAATTTGAAGTTGTTGTATTATCTAAATTAGTTATGTTAGTTGTTGAATTGTATTGACAAAAAAGATTATCTAAATTAGTGTATTGTGGTAATGATTCAAGTGCAAGAGTAAGTATTGATACAAGAACCATAAGTAATGATATAATATTAACAATTCTAGCCATTGCTGAATAATCTGGATATTCCATTGTTGCCCATATAAATCTTTTAATATGATTTTTTGGTAGACGAATTCTTTTAACTTCTTTAATATTTTCATCTTTTCGTATTTGATTAAGAGCTTCTTCTCCTAATTGAAAAAAAAGTAACTTCTTCAAGAAAAATATCCAATGGAACATAATCCGGTCGTCTTAAACGACCATTTGATTGATAATAATAAAGTATTGCTTCAAAACAAGCACGATGACGATCAAAAAAATATTCTTGATGTAGATTATCATAGTAATATTTTCGTCGTTTATGATTTCCAAGTAATGTATCTGGAAAAAGTTCAAGTGTTGTACGATGTGTTTCATATCGATCACCACATACATTTATTGTAATACGATCATTTTCTAAAATTCTATCATTTTGTTGTCGTCGTTCGGAGTGTAATGAATGAATATTAAGTAAACTTTTAACATTAATAACATCCCTATAAATAAATATAAATATAGAAAGAGTTTTCTATATATATATAATCATTATGTTAATATGCGGTTAAAAAGCATTTTATTATTTTTAGTGATTTAAGAGCTAAAAGCATAAGCAGAGACTTACGAAACATACGTATCATTACGATTTGGATTCCATTCCACAGTCTTTTTTGATGGTGATGCTCTTTAAAAGAAATTATTGATAAAAAAAAAACAACAAGAATAAAATGTTTTTATTTCATACTCATATATATGTTCCAAACGCCGTGCTTCTGTTTTCGGTAATGGCTTAGTAATAGGTTGTGATCGAGAAGTACGACGAGTAGGTTTAGAATTTTTCAACATTATAACCTATACATATTTATAAAAAAAAA